GCGTGGAGTGAGCGCAAATTTTATTTCCTTTTGACGTCAACAAATTGAAAATTCTTACAAAAATATTGAACCATGTTCTCCAAGAATGTGTAATTGTGTGTGCTTGGGTTTGTCAATACGAGCAATAAACGTAAAATATGTTGTAGAACAAGAAACAAGTTTTTTTTTTTTTGCTTTTTTGCCTTTGCTGTTTTATTGCTCGGCGTCTGTTGGCCGTGGCTAGAACAAATTTCATAATACGAGTAGAACAAATCAACGCCGAGAATTTAGTGTATATTTGTATATATCTGTATGTGTGTGTGTTTTTTATAATAATAGAATCAAGTTTACATTTTAAAGAACGTTCTTTTTAGCAGCGACATAATAACAAAAGCGTTAATAAAGCCACGATCTCAGATAAGATGTTGTGGCGAAAAGGGAGCGGGCGCAAATAAGTCGGCATGTATGTGTCTGTGTATAATTGTGTGGAACTTGCCGCTTGCTATATACATATGTATCTTTGATTTTTTTTTTGCCATCCGCCAAGATAATAAATGAAATAGCCAACGCCTAAGGCGAGCACACGACGCCGACGGCGACCGATCTATATAAATAAATTAAGCTCGGCTTTACATGGGCCGCCCAACCCACTATTGTGGTGCTGCTGTTGTTGTTGTTGCTGCTGCTCGTTCTGGCGAACAAAGAAAACATTTAGCATACAGCCTTGGACGGGCGAACGCCGCGTGTTCGCTCACAAGTCAAAAGGTTGCAAGGCGCGCCCCCTCGCGTCTCTCCATCAAAGTGAAGGGTGGTAGCTAGTGGCAGCCACATTGCAGCAGCCTTGAAGCTTGACATGACCATGGTGCCAACATCTAGAATGTTGGCTGCAGTTGCTACTGCTGCTGCTGGTGCTGGTTCTGCCACTGTTGATGTTGAATTATTGTCAAGTGCCATTTAAATTAATTTATATGTGTATCTTTGAACTAAATAAAACAAACTATGCAAATGGCTAAGCCCCTCAGGTGTTCAGACTTGAGCGACCTGACCAGCTTACGGCGACAATTGTCAACGACACGTTTTCTCGCTAGTAATCTGTTCTAATCGCATTATGGCTTGCGAACTGAAAAGCTGAAAGCTAAAGGCACGAATTGCGACGCTTACAAGAAACGTTGGCAGTTCGCTTTGCGCAAGCGTAAAATGTTTGTTTAATTAATGTTGTTGTTGTTGCCGTTGTTGTTGCTGTTGCTGTTGTTGAAGTGCCGCTGTCAGCACACACACATATACACACTTATATTTTTGTATCCAACTTTGTATCTGTGCAAATCCCCGTACATACATATGCGTGGGCTAAGCTGTCAAAGCGTTAAGAGTTATTTTCTGCTTATTTTTTACATCGACGTGTTCTTTTTTTTATACTAGAGTTGTGTATTCTTTTATCGTTTTTGTAATGTTTTTTAGTAGCTCACCGTAGTTCGTGATGTCGCAGTTCTGTGCCATTTGTATGTATCTGCTCTTTTAGTTTGTCCGTCTACCTTCCTCCCCCCTCCATGCCACAGGCATTATTGCATTTAATGAATTGTCGACAATTCATGCTAAATATATTGTTTTTCCTAAGCGTCTGCAAGGTCAAATATGCGCATATATTTATTTCTTACAGCTCTACATGTTGATAAGTAATTGAAATGTAGCACCCATTTAACGGGCTATTCGGGATGTTGGTTCCGTCAACAAAGCGATATGGTTTATAATAATAAAATATTGTCAGAGTACTAAGTATTTGAAAAAGATTGTTTTTATTTACATTTTTCTGAATTGAGAGATATTGCATTAATAAAACTTATAGGTAGCTTTAAATCAGCTATGAACATTTGTAAAAGGAACATAATATCTGCAATATTGTTACAGTATCGACTTTTAAAATACATTTCGAAATTAAATTGATATTTTTTGGACAAAAACAAATATTTTGTAAATTAACCAACTGTTGACCCTAATTGTACTTGAGTTTAGAATGAAATGCTAAATTTTTTTCTGATTGTAATGACACCAATCTACTATAACCCCTTAAAATAAAAGTTCAGCAATATAGAGAGTATTTTCGATATTTTATATAAAAGCGTTTGTTTCTTTTAGCTCATATAAACTTTTTAGTTTACTTCCACTAGTCTTAGGTGAAAACTCAAAATTTTATTTTAATTTTAGTTAAAAAGCTATTATTGGTATATTAGAGATAGCGAGAGAGAGAGAGATACTTAAAGCAAATAATGCTTACACAGCCTTTATTTATCTTTAGTTCAAGCAATTCATGACACGATTTAACTAAGTTAGTTATTATTTATTTTTTTATGCTGGATAATTTGTTGTGTTCGGTAGCAAATAGATTGATCTTGATAATCATTATCATCAAACAATCAATTCTGCTCTAAATAAGGAGAATCGTAAATAAGTAATAAATAAACTTGAGCAAAGTCTCGGTTGCTTAAGTAATTCATCTTATATGATTCCATATGATGTGACTGATTAAACCCAATTAAGTACACAAGTTCTTTAAAGAGACTTTTATTGGAAACTGTTCAATAAATAAATAAATGTTGAATTACACACAAATGTGCCACAATGGAAAGTTAGTTCGATCTCGAGCCTGCCTTAATATACAAGTAATGCAATTCTGAAAAGCTTACCCCTACAAAACGTTGAGACATGACTGTACCATTCACAGACATGAAGAATCAATGAAAGAGCAGCTTTACTCTGCCCTAACAAAGTAAAGAATTGGAAAACTTTGCACGCTGTCTGCCCTCCATTTGCATATCTTAAAGCTATTTAGATACTCTGCACAAACACACGCACATACGCCCCCAACAACTACCACCATCTTCATTATGGTCGTCAACATCATCATCATCATCATGAGTCAAGCCCGGCCCATTGCTCTGGATAGGTATGCGCTGCTCATGTCTAGGCACTGAACTTTGTCAGACTATTGCCGCTCATTATGCGCCGCACGCACAGTCAATTATTCTGTATAAAAGACGCTGCAATGCAGCCACCACATTAAGCAGCCATGGCAGAAGCCAACTCATTTCAATTTACATAAAAGCCATCGTCGATGACACAGGCATAGTCGCAATCGCAATCGCAGTCATAGTAGCAGTCGCGGTCGCGCTTCTGATTTTCGCAAAAGTTGAAACCACAAACCAAGTGACAACGAATATGCCAAACAGTCAATGTACCTTGCATTGGCTACCACGAATGGAACACCTATGGAACAGCAACAACGGCAACAATAGCAACAGTACGCACATTCGTTATGGTTACCACACCCATGCTCGTGCGCCTGATTACATTGTATAATGAGTTTGATTGATTTTCAGCATTATTAGAAAATAGCCGAGGGCCAATTGCGTAGTCATTGGCTTTGACAATAATGGTATCTAGCTATTGGGTTGGACCTGCTGGTTTGGACCTGACCATGGGCCCTGACTGTGGTGTCAATTGGACTGACGATTCCCGTGAAAAGTCTGCGGAAATCTGGCAAGTGGCAAGTGACAGACAAACACAAAGAAAGAAAAAAGCTTGTCACAATGCCTGAAATATTTATGTCATGTTGAGTTTTCTTTTCTACTATTTGCACACATCTTTTTTTCTTATATTTTGTATTTTTTTGCTCTTCAGCTGGCAGCCAGGCCTTGTCTTGCGAAAGCGGGAAAATGCGCTTGCATTTATAATTGTTGGCAGTAGTATTTATTTTATTATGTCCATAAATATAATGAGGCGTGAGGCATCAGGCATGAGTGTTGCAGCCAGCCCCAGTTGGCGGCCAACGTAAATTTCTAAATGCTACAGACGAGTGTGTCACCATTTGAAAGACAAGCAGGCGAGGATCGAGGCGAGAGAAGACAAGGCAAGACAAGAGAAGTGAAGTGAAGACGACGTGCAAAATCGCAAGCAGACACATTTCCATCAAATCAATCAAAAATGGTAAATACAAGTTTTTTTATTGCAAAACCAACAAGACAACGACAAAAACAAACGTCAAACTGGCAGCAGTAGGCATAGCGTTTATAGAGTTTAAGTAGGTCCAACAAAAGTATCTGATGCTTCTGCCATTGGAATGCACTTTCCGAGTGAAATGCCAGATTGTCGCTGACATGCTCACTGTTGTTGTTGTTTTTGCTGTTGCTGTCATGCCATAGTTGACAATCATTTAGAATCACTTCTTGCAAAATGAAAGCATCTTTTGAAAGTTGCAACAGTCGTTGTTGCCACTGCTGCTGCTGCTGTTGTTGTTGTTGTTGCTGCTGTTACTGTTGTTATTGTTGTTGCTGTTGCTGTTGTAATTAAAATGAAATGCCATAAGACAAATGGCAATGGGAAATGTAACTGGCAAATGTGCAACTGCAACTATAACAGCGACAAAATATGCGCTCTCACCTTGCCCCAACTAACTCACCTAGTTACACTCTTTGTCAGCCTTGGCCAGATAGGCACACATACATATATACATGTATATATACATATATATATAAGTATGTATATACATATAAGTATATATATACATATAAGTATGTATATATATAAAGTGTGTAGTGTCTATAAGGTTGTGCATGGCAGCCGCTAATCAAAAAGTCATATGATGATTATTATAGCGCTAACAAAACAAAACACATTACTGCTCACACACTAACTACATACAATATGTATGTGTGTATGTATGAATATTATTTTATGTGCTTTCGAAATCGAATTGCGCATAATATGTGTGTCTGAATATAAAAACAGACATTGATAACTGATAAGTGTGCCCCATTGGTCATCGAAAAGGTTATCAACGACGACTTCGGAGCGACAAGAATGCTCTAAATTGAAATCGGCGCCCACCCACACACACACACACACACACACACGCACACTCAAGCACACACAGCACTTGATTTTCAAATAACTATACAATGAACAATCTGGCCATCTGATGTGTATTACCTATGTATATAGTGCAATCCTTATAATTTTCTACTTACCTCATTGTTTGACATGTACAATATCTTCTCATACTCCATTTTTTCGTTCTCGTGGTAGCACGTTTTTCTGTTTGTATTTATTTGTTGTATTATAATAACAATTATATTGCAAGAAAATCGCGCTTGTTCGCTGCAGTTAGAGCAATGTACATATGTATGTATGTATGTCGTTATATCTGTATATTTCGCAGCACTTGGCGCGCTTCAAATCTGTTGCGAAAGTGTAACTCAGTGTCATAGGCTGTCTCGTTCGCACTCTCATGCGAATACACACGCACACTCCCAAACACTCTCGCGCGCTCTTTCGCTGTTTTGATTTTTTCGACAAAAATGTTAAACTAGATTTTGGCAAGCGCTATTGTTGATATGATTGTTGTGTGTTGTTGTTTCATTGGCGCACCACTTCTTGCTTTTTATTATGTTCATAAGGTTCATAATGAGCTTTATTTAGCGCGAACTGATACTTTAGATTATTTTAATGTTTTTACTTTAATGAAGTTTGAAAATGTTGTTACTTTGCACTGTATACATATATATTTATATATCTCTCTTGCTCTATCTCGCTACTGTCAATTGCTGTTGCCTTCACTTTTGCATTCATTTAAATTTTTACTTCATATGCATATCATCGTCTATGTTAAACATCCACTTGTAAAACTTGTTGCGCACTCGCTCTTTTGCTTGCTTGCTCACTCGCTCACTCGATGCCAATCGCAATCATCCGCTGTGTGGCCGTTCACCAACTATTCACGCTTAATTCTGTTCGCGGCTCTGGCACTGATCGTGCGGCTTACCTCATTCACTGCCACCGCCAGAAGCTTTAAAGCCGCAGAACTGGTTTGTGCGCCCCACGCTGAGCTTTGATTGCAAGCTAAGCTTTTAAGCACCTTTGTCCAAAGTGCCTAACTGCTAACACTTGTGTTTCTTACTTACGGCACCATAATTTGCTAAGTTATCGATTTTTGTGACAATAATTGCCGATCAAACAACCCGATGCAATAAGAGTCTATTCCTGCTTCAATGCTTTCAATGCAACGTTTTATTGCTGGCCTGCATGAGTAGCTGAGTGGGGAGTGTTGGACAGAATTTGAGCTGAGCTTTTATGACTGCAACTGGCTATGCAGCTGATTGCTTGATGGAATCAGATGGAATTGATTTTATTTTAGAAATACTAAAATATTCGTAATAGATTCAATATTGGACAAGCAGTGTATTAATTTCTTATAAATTTTAATTTCCGAATCAACAATAGCAACACATTCTGTCAACGCATGCGCTGCTCCTGCTATCGTAGTTTTACGCTTCTTTACTTAAAAATAAATCAAATTTGTGCCCCAATCGGTTTAATAGGTTATAAGCTTTCAACAACTACGAATGTGCAAAATTCGTGCAAATTTCGCTCATATTCCACCGTCTCCTAAGGCGTCCGAAACAAATTAATCAAAGAGTTCCAAGAGACATGTAATGTGATATGAAATGTTAAATTAATAATATCCCCGCTGCGTAGCATAACACTAGCCGAAAAACTCTGCTAGTGAGAGCTCAATTTATATATTATACCATCGTTATAGAAAACGTGAGAGAATAGCATTTTATTATGTTTATACCATCAAATATATCCGTAGAGTGGAAATTCAAACCCCAAAGCGATGGCTATATTGTCAACTTGCTCGAAAACTGAATTTCTGAAAGAGTGTATGAATTTTATTTCCTATAGTGTTTATAAATTTATGTTTGCTATATTTATGATTTGCATCAATGTATTATAATTATTTACATAATCGTAAGTACAGTTTAAAGCCTTAAAAAAATATTTCAAAAATATAAAGTGGAACTTTTGTAGACTAAGAAGAAAAATATATCCCTCGGGATCAAAGTAAAAAAGAAATACGCAATATTTAAAATCAAGCGATAATCGCCACAAAATATTCAATTTAATTATTCTTATTCTCATGCACACATCTTTAATAATGTCGAAAAAAAGGAAGACTAGTGCGGCCAACATAAGAGTATTATAATACTTCAGGACAACGAATGCATTGACCTTCTCCTGCTGCTCCTACTTGTCGTGCATGTGTGGGTGCGTACGTGTAGGGATGTCTGAATAAATGCATCTGTATATGTGCATATAAAGCTTTAGTCTGTCGGAGAGCCGCTGCAGAATTGAAGTGTTGGATGGCAGTTGGCAAGAGTTGCCAGACCACACGCAGACGTCGCCACTGACTCGGCAACTTGCTTGCGGCCGCAATCCGCATTCTGTGTCTGCAAGTGTGTGCGTATGTCTGCTGCATTATCATTTCCGCTTCCGCTGCATAAGAATCAATGACACAGGCAGTAACAGCAACACCAACAACCCGCACATGAAGCAACACAATAAAATAAAATTTTAAAAGTTTGACATTTATATTTCATTGCACAATGACAATTTTGCAATTTTTGACAAGTCATAAAAAGCGCATGACAGGCCAGCAGTCAGCAACCAACACTCTCTGGGACTCCACAACTGTTCAACTACAACTTTTCGTCTGCAGTTGAAGTTTTGCGCAGCACCAGCAACAATGATACGTACAATGGCATTGGTCTCTGGTCTGTGGCCTGGACAAGGGCGCTCCACAGCGTCGCTCATTGTTGTGCCATTAAAGTGAAATTATGCTGTTTGTAGAATACTTATTGCCCGCCCTTTCAGCTGCAGCTGCAACAGCACCACACTATTAGTTGTCATCAAACTTTAAGCAGTTTTAGTTTTGCGCCCCAGCTGCCAGCATTTGCATAGGCCCCGCAGAATCGTCAACAGCACCAGCAAGGCGCCCAGCAGCAGACCCAGAACGTCGAGCGAATGGTAGGCGAAGTAACTGGACCAGACAAAGATATTAAAAATTTCATTAAACTTCCATAAACAACTTACCTCATGCCCAGTCCCGGTGCCTGAAGGTGTTGCGCACCTCTATGCCGGATGACGTACTCCGTCCAGTGCACGGCCGTGCGCAGGGGCTGCGACATTTGGTCCAACAGCAGTGTCCGTCGTCGTCTAAAAGCAAAGACATGTCAACAGAGCTAGGCACTTAGACCGACAAAAAGGAGTACGTTCGAAAAATACATATTTTTAACAAACTACAATTTTATCTATCCATACTGTATATCCATAAAAATAACCCAAATTTCCTTAAGTGTATGGCATAATACTAAGCTGATAAACATAGACTGTTAATGTGTTTCTAATTAATGCAACACATCTACAGATTAGATTGTTATACCCTGTACCCGCAGGGTAAAAAGGGTATATTAGGTTGGTGCAAAGTATGTAACATGCAGAAGGAAGCATCTCCGACCCCATAAAGTATATATATTCTGAATCAGCATGACGAAAGAAATCGATCTAGACATGTCCGTCCGTCTGTCCGTCTGTCCGTCCGTCCGTCTGGACGAACGCAAGGATCTCAAAAACTATAGAAGCTAGAATAACCAAAGTTGGCATCCAGATTCTCCTAGGTCCGAGAAAGGACGAGTTTATTATTTTTTTTTAATTTTCCCCCCTTTTCCCGCTACAGAATTTCGTCGATGCCGTCCACATTTCAAATGCTACCTAAACCAAACTTTGCACACATAATTTATACATTTATCTATATTTATCTACTGTTGTTTAAAATGTTATATAATTCCGTCAATTCAAAGAAAAGTTATAAGCAAAACAAATTCTTTCTGGTGCAACCCCTCCAAACTGCAGCAACAAGTTCGCTCTTCTTCCTCTTTTTGCTGCTGCTTTGGGCGCATATAACTCAGTGACGGAAGTTTACCTGGGTACAGGGTATTACACTGTCGGGCTTTCTCGACTGTAGCGTTCTCTCTTGTTTTTTATTTCAAATAGCATTTAGAATGTTTTCTATAATTTATAGGTTGTAGTTTTTTCAAAAAACAAATAGCGTGTAAATAATCTAGATTAATTAAAAAAGTGTCATGCAACTAGTTCACTATATCAGTGTTAAATGAAACACCTTATCAACTCTCCATGTACATCCGTTATGAACGCTTCTATTATAAATTATAAAACACCAATAAGAAATCTATAATACCCTTATTTAGTGATGTTTTCAAGTTTTTAGTTTAATGGCTGTCATCAAATTAATGTATGTTTCCAAGTATTAGAAACCAATCTTATAGATTCCTTAGAAGTACTCTGAACGATATTTGAACAATTTTTGAAGCGCACTCCTTAGAGACGCAGACCTTACCTCACAGCTCGCCGATAGCTATCGTTGTGCAGAACATCGTAGATGGCGCAATAGAGCGCCTCTTCGGTAAGGTGGGCCAACTCAAGCCTTCGGGCATAGCCGTCGCGTACTGCCTTGGCCGCATTCACGTCATGATCGCAAAACACAGGCAATACAAGCAAAGGGACACCATGGTAGACGGCCTCGTGCATGCTTAGCAGTCCGCCGTGTGTAATGAAAAGTTGCAGCTGCCGCTGTCCCAGTATATCCTGTTGTGGCAGCCATGAGCGAACGCGAACATTGGGCGGCAGTCTCGGCTCCAAAGCCGTGGCATTGCCCGCCCACGTCCAGAGCACGTGATGACGCGGCAATCGCGCAAAGACGCCGACAAACAGTTCAAGCAACGCGTCCGGCAACCGTGCTGAGCGCACCGATGAGCCCATCGAGAGGTAAATAACGCCCTCTGGCGCCGCTGCAAGAAACTGCGCCAAGTCAGCATCGGTGGCGCCTAGATTTGCAGTGGCAGGACGACAGTGCAGACAGGCAACTTCGGCCACGTTGGGCAGATAGGCTCGCGCATCGCTAACACTGGGATGTCCCAATTGCAGTATGAAGGCCACGTTGCGGCCCATCGCATATGGGTGTGGGATATTGCTGTCTAGTTCCTGTAGCAGTATTTGATGCACGCGCCAAGTGCAAAACTGCAACACAAGGCTTATGATTAGATTACAATATATATGAGATCACGACCAACAAAGGCACGATCGGGCCATTATTAAAATTATAAAGAAAAATGTTTAAATAAGTTAATGTATACATATGTTTAAAAATAGGTTCTTCATTGATAAGGATAAACCAAAATTCAAAAAGAGATTTTTGCTAACCTGATGACCTAATTTAAATTGCTTATTTTCGGTTGATTTCGAAAAACAAATCCCTTTAAAATATTGAAAAATATAACAAGATACTATATAACGCTACAGTCGATCAAGCCCGACAGCTTCCGACAATGAAGAAGCAAAAAGAAGACCCACCTTGTGGGTAATAAAGAGGAAAGAGGGGAGAGAAAATCAAAAACATATAATAAACTCGAGTAGTTTAGGGATCAGGAGCATATACATGCCAAGTTTGGTTAATGTGCGACCAAACCAGACGGACGGACAGGCGAACGGACGGACATGTCTAGTTCGATTTCTCCGTCATGCTGATTAAGAATATATATACTTTATGGGGTCGGGAATGCTTTCTTCTGCCTGTTAAATACTTTGCACAAACCTAATATAATTTTTCACATACCATGATTCTTTTTACATTAGTTAAAAATTTTCACTTTCGAGAACTTAGAAAACATCACTCCTAACATAAATATTTTGGATATAAAAAAAAGTCTTTCATGTGTTAGAATGAATGGCAATTTGAGACTGCAACAATGTTTATTAATAAGCAGAGTCGCTAGATCTTATTTGTAAAATTTATTTCAAGCACATAGTTGATTTCTGGATTATAAATGTCCAAGCAAATATTATGAATATTACCCTGTGTTTCTAGAGAATTTACAGACCTACAATCAAAACTTATCTGTCCCATTCAGTGAAAGATAGCTCACATAAGCGAGTCCAACATAACCATTTCCTGAGCCAGCTATACATACATTTCAATTGAAATTTGGCAACGGTGTGCCATTTAGACACACACTGTTAGACGGATGCCAGCCACTAAACATCATTTAATCAAACTGATGCATGATAAATCAGAAGCCAATCACAAACAGGGACCACTGGCTAGAAAGACGAAAAGGCTTACAGGTAGCATTGTAGGCATATGGCTTGCCTTTAAGTCCCTCCGCCCGCCTGTCTGGCTTTCTGTATGTTGAGTTAACAACATCAAAAGCTCGTTGCCACTTGGCCACTTGACGTGCAGTTGGCGTCGTACCCATCAATGCTATTGCAAATCCCCAGGTCTGCTGTTGCTGTTGCTGCAGCTGCTGTGCACGTATCCGACCAAATTGGTCTTAAATCAAAGCAGGGATTAATACGTTAGTCGGCCATACCAAACGCACACGAGACAACATACTATAGCTGAACGAACAAACATATGCACGTCCACAGCAGCCAATGCAAAAATGCAATGAAACCGAGGCAGGCCATCAATGGGCAGACATGCCTTACCGGCCTCGTACCAATCAGTCTCAGGCTCAGGCGTAGTCCCAGTCCCTCATCCACCCACATCGAGACTGACTCTCGAAGTCACTCACCCAATGCACTAAGTCGGCAAAAACATGCATTACACAATTTCCGACACGCTGCAAGAAATCCATGCTCTGAGTCCAGGCCGTAAAGACGTGAGGCGTTACAGCATACGCAAACGGATTGCCGGACAACGAGACACTTCCGGTGTAGGAGGCCACAGTATTGATGTAAATGAATGCCGTTACGTTTAAACGATGCACAATGCCCAGCGCGCACTCCGGAAACGCGCCGTCCACAATGGCCAAATCGTATGCCAAGGGCTGCGCGTCAGAGGTGCTAAGGGCTGAGGTTGGATGCAGCCCATCGTCTACCCTTAATAGACGACGCGTGGCAGGATCGGTGAGTAAACTGTTGCATGCCTGTGGGGCGTTGTCGAGTAATAAACGTCATTGTAGCCGGCATAGCCTCGAGTGAGGCTCTTGATAGTGCATATGCAAGTGACTGTGTGTGTGTGTGTGTGTGTTTGTTTGTTTGTTTGTTTGTTTGTTTGTGTGTATGTCTGCTTTGTTTACTTTACTTTGATGTGGTCGTGTGCTTTTGCGAATGTGTTCATGCGTGTGTCTGTTGCGGGTACAACTTACCTCTCCGGGATATCGCATTGCATCGAGCAACGAGAGTGGCGCCCACCCAGCATGCCGCCGTCCCACCAAATCCCAATCAGTATAGTTCGCTATATAGTGCACTAAACGTTCGGGCGTCACTTCAGACAGTCCGTCCGCATGGAAATCCGCTCGAAAGCCATTCACAAATGTAACATGATGGCCGCTGTGCGCCAAACGAATTGACAGAAATAACAATAAATAAAAGTACGAACAATTTAGTGGCTTTGTCAACTCTTGTATACCCTACATCTTTAGTGAGGCAATGTAAACGCAGAGAACGTTACAGTCTTTTAACTAATTTCGATGAAACTAATAAATATTAAAGCTATTTATTCATTTTTTGCCTTATCGTTCTTATGGCAGCTATATCAAATAATAATGCATAGATATACAAGTAGTATGACAAGAATACAAACCATCTTTGGTTTTATTGTTCAGGAGTTCTCGATGTGCTTTTACGGACGGATAGACAGACATGGCTATATCGATGCGTAACGAACTTTCTACTTCATATACCCCTTTAGAAGACAGAGCACAAATTGTTGTTCTCTGTTCCCTCTCTCCCCTTGTCACTCACCGTGGCGTCAATGCCTTGGCCAATGCCCAGAAGGGTATTTTGTGCGATTTCGTGCCGCCCATGGTAATCATCAGAATGTTCGATGCGTCAACGTGCCACAAGCAACAGCCACCAATTGTTAGCAGGAACAAAACGAGCGATGGGCGAGGAAGATTCCAGTGGAGCACCATGAGCAACGATTGCGATGATGCTTCAAGTTCAAGTGCTGGAGACTCTCACCCAGCCACAGTGACAGTTGGTCGCTCAATGAGCCGAGAACGTGGGACAGCAGCGAGCAGGACAAGCTGCTGTTCAATTTTCCAAATAAATAAAAATGTTAATTTTAAAATTTTTGGGATGGGCCGTTAGCCTCGCTAGGGTTTGGGTCACGCTATATAGTTCTGGTGATGTTTGCTGTCGTTCTCACTTCCACTGTGAGTGTGTGTGTGTGTATGTTTGTGTTTGTATGTATGGATGTGTCTCTGTGTTGAAATTACAGTTATTCGTTGTACGTGTTTAATTATTTTTAAATCACACGCAAACATCGACACTGACAGGGCCAACTGCCACTTTGGAAAACGAGTCACGTTTCGATTGCCAGCTATTTTTACGTAGACCTTTACGCATTTGTCCTGCGCCTGGTCTCGCTCTGAAGCGTGTATTATAGGTATGTAAGTGTGTGTGCCTTTTGTTTTCTGCAGCGCTCCCCATAACTGCCCATTTAAAGTGTTATTTCCGAAGCGAGATTCTTAATTACACGCTCTAATTTTACCTCTGCCTTTTTAAGACAACGACCCAAAGTCAAACTGTTAATAAATAACCTTTATGGACTCACACATACACACACACACACACACACATACAGGCAGATACACAATCAAATATACATTTAAAGGCCTCACAAGTGCATTTAGTGGACTTTCCCAACTTCAATGCATAATAAATAAAGCGCATGATTCTTTGGCCCTATTTTCATTTATGCTGTTTGCATAGCTCGACTTAAGTAAACACCAAGCCACCGACGGACAGACAGACAGACATACATACAAACAGACAGACACACAAATATGCAGACACAAACAGCAGACCAAAAATTCAAAGGTCGCCGGCCACACACACACACACACGTGTCCTTCCTCCATCTAAATAACTGGCTTTTGTTTATTTAACTTAAAATGTATATTTCTGCAAATAAAACAAACAGCCTCCGCCTTCTTTGTCTTTGTCTTCGCCTCCTTCATCTTCTTATACTTCTGCTCGCTGTTGTTGCATTTGACGTTATGTAAATTATAAATTCAGTGACCGTGTCCTGCCGTCCTTCGACCGAACTATGTCCAACGACGTCCGGCGTGGGCCACAAAACTTGATTAATTTGTTGCAATTCTTTGTGTTTTCTATTTATGTTTTCCGCCTGCGGGCGCTGCAAGCAGCTTTCTCAAATAATGAAAACCTTTGTACAGTTATTAGCATTTTGTTGTTAGCAATTATTAATTAAAACGAAGGCATCATAACGAATGAAAAACGTTGCATCGAATTGTGTTTTTATGAATCCTATAACAACTCACAAAACTCCAACATAAACAAAGATAAGGTCAGTCACGTTCTTGTCAAATATTAAAATTACATTCAATCGCCCTAAACTAAGTAGTATGACCTTTTCGCCTTTGGATACAAGGCTTAAAAAGCCAATGTTTAACGATATTGCTGCACTCATGCTACAATTAAAAATGTACGACTTCATTTTTAAGCTCAGCTGTTGCTTTTTCAGTTTCAGTTACGAATACCGAATATTGGAAATTCCTCTCTTTAGAAACAATGTAATACTACTTTCTTAGAATAAAATAACAGAAAATATTCTTATAGCCCTCTCTCCACCATCAAATTGGATTTACTTAACTTCCCAGCATACTTAGTCAGAGAATTTTAATTGAATCCTTGCGGCTGCACAGGAACTATTTCATTCGTAGGTATTGAAATGAACTTCAATTATTGTATTTTTTTTTTTCAATGCACAATAGGATTTCGCACACAATTCTATGCACAGCAACTCCTACGCCATTATTCCAGGAAACACACGAAGCAGCTTAGAATCAATTGGTTTCAACATGGAAATAAGCTAGCGTCTGCAGCCACGCCCACTGCCATTGTCAAGCTGCTTATAAAATACACGTATGGAAATGCACGGATACATGCTCGCAATCTGTGAGAGATAAGAGCTACAATTCATACGCTCCGTTGCCATAAGCTATGCAACATGTGCAAGCGCTTTTGCAGCAACAAGAAAAGGAAATAAATACTCGTACTGTGGAAAATGCAAGGTGTACTCGCACAGACAGATTGTAGGACTTTTATCGATGCATCTTGTTAAATATCTGTACACACACACGCACACCACATTGTCCTTCAAATTGAGACAAAATGCCCAAACACACATAGACATCCTTTAATTATTTTCTACGTAGAAAATTCGAACCAGGCAATCAAACAAAAGCATCGATGCCCACAAATAAGACTAGGCTTTGCAACCCTCACATTTAATATCGCCCCCTCTTTAGAGCCCTAGTCAAAATTTATTTAATGGTCGTCTTAACCATTGTTTGCGTAAAGAATAGAAACCGAGTTACAAGTCAATCGAAAGGAAAACCGCATTTTTTTTGTTGTACAAAAGCCTACAAAAAAATAACTGTGGCTAATTACACATAGCACTTGCTTAACAAGGCAGTTGTGTTCCTAAAAAACCTTATGTTAAGCGAAATCATGTTACATGGACTCCACACAAAATTTGGGGTTACGTTCCTAGATTCCCAAAAATTTAAACAAATGCACAACACAAATTTTTTGTTTTAATTTGCGCTGCTTTTAAGGTCAAATATGTTAACAATTTATAAAAAGTTCAAGATCAATTTTTATCATTCAATATTTTAAATATTTATTTAATATTTAATTTAATTTATTAAAGCAAAACATTTTTAAACGTAAAAAATGTTAAATCAGCTTAACAAAGGTTACTAATATTATTACACAATATAATTCTTACTAATACTATTGCACAACCTAATACCTACCACCTGTCATATAAAAGACTATTCTCTAGAAAAGAGTAGCTGCTAGATATGGGTTTCGCTCTCTAACTATGCTATCATATAGAGACCAATTCAAATGTTTTGAGACGTGTAAGTTTCAATGATCCTGGGAGACATAGCCGCTATCAAGATTTTGTCTAATTTCAGCTGCAACAGATATTTTTATTTTTGAAAAACCCTCTTTTCTATAATTCTCTAAAATCTAATATTCTCAATTACTTCCAACTTCCCTTCAAACTGATTGGATTATTCAAATCGTCTTTACATCGGTATGTATGTGCCGGTGCACAGGCTATATTTTTATTTATTTCATTACTTTATATCTAAGCTAACCCCCCAAAAGCCGCCATTGTAGCTTAAATTAGGCATTCTCTAATCACTGAACAAATCAAAATCGAGTACTTAGGGTGCACGGTATTTGTATGTTATGTCTGTACTCTGACATTTAAGCACCCAAATAATTGGAGATCACAACGGATCCTAGAGCAGCTATGTCCGATTGACTGCAATTAATTCCCTATTGTAAATTGAAATACTGAAATACATACAAAATACTTGTATCACTTGCATTCAGCATTACTACTTCCACTGTACTTATATAAATAATTTAAGTAGCACAAACTTCAAGAGCATGCATCGCCATTCTATGTCAAAGGCTTGAGATGACGTCAATCCCGTGAATATCGTAGGCAGCCCTTGACACAAAACGTAATAATGTAGAGCTCATTTGCCTTACCTTAGATTCATTCAATTGCATTCAATTGAAAAAGGTTTCTCAACAATGCCAGGCCATCCTGGAGCACATACTACATATATGTACTTAAGTA